TTCAGTTTTTGACTTGTCTGGCTGCAGTGGCAAAGTTATTGAACCGTAGTGGATTCTGTTTAATGAGTCGCTCCAAAGACTGAAGATCACACACACGCACACTCAATCACACACTCACACACACACACACACACTCACACGCACACTCAATCACACACACACACACTCACACACGCACACTCAATCACACACACACACACACTCATGCACTAACTCTCTCTCCCGTGTCCCGCAGGTGTTCGGTGGGTTACTATGGTAACCCGTCTGAGCCAGGTGGGCGGTGCCAGGTGTGTCAGTGCAGGGGGGCGTGGTCAGTGCACACCATCTGTGACGGACGCACCGGGAGCTGCGAGTGTAAGCCCGGGGCCAGAGGTCATCTGTGTGACCAGTGCGAGGAGAGACACGTGCTGGTCAGCGAGCAGTGTGTGTGTGAGTAACAGCACATTTATTTCTGCAGCGCTTTATACAATACAGACCGTTTCAAAACAGGGACGTAACGGTGATAATGTTGCAAAATGCATCAATTCTGAAACGATCTCATGTCCTGCAGCGTGTGATGACGAGTGCACCGGAGCGCTGCTGGACGATCTGGACGCTTTAGACGGGTCCATCGGCTCTCTGAACCTGTCGGGGGTCATTCTCGCTCCCTACAGCCAGCTGATGACCCTCGAGAACCAGACCAGAGAGGTCAAGGTCAGTCATGGGCCTCGTCTGCATGTGGAACGCATCGGTCATGTATAAAGAACCCCGTGTGTGTACATTTGCATGTTTGATTAGCAGAGTTTGATGTCGTGGGAGCAGAGCTCAGATTATCAGCTGACCGCAGGAGAGGAACATGTGAGCAACCTGACCAATCACATCACTGACCTTCAGCAGCAGGTACGACTCATGTCCGTCATCACTGTATCCACGGCAACCGCCGACTGATGCTGGGACTCAGTGTGTGTGTGTGTGTGTGTGTGTGTGTGTGTGAGAGAGAGAGAGAGAGAGAGAGAGAGAGAGAGAATATCACGACATCCAGACCAACCTACAGACGCTCACAGTGAGTCACGGCTTCATCAGAGGATGCATGTGATCAAAAATACAGGAAAAATCTGAAATATTATTAGAATGTAAAACAGCTGTTTTCTCTGTGAATATGTGTTAAACTGTAATGTATTTCTGTGATGCGCAGCTGTATTTTCAGCATCATTACTCCAGTCTTCAGTGTCACATGATCTTCAGAAATCATTCTAATATGCTGATTTGCTGCTCAACAAACATTTCTGATTATTATCAATGTTGAAAACAGTTGTGCTGCACAATATTTTTGTGGAAACCGTGATGCATTTTATTTTTCAGGATTCACAGATGAATAGAAAGTTCAAAAGAACAACATTTATTTGAAATAGAAATCTACTGTAATATTATAAATGTCTTTATTGTCACTTTTGCTCAATTTAATGCGTCCTTGATCAATAAAATTACTTACTTTCTTTTTTTAAATAAAGTTTCCACAAAAATATTCAGTTTTCAACATTGATAATAATCAGAAATGTTTCTTGAGCAGCAAATCAGCATATTAGAATGATTTCTGAAGATCATGTGACACTGAAGACTGGAGTAATGATGCTGAAAATACAGCTGCGCATCACAGAAATACATTACAATCTAACAGATATTCACGTAGAAAATGGTTTTAAATTTTAATAATATTTCAGTATTTTTAATCAAATAAACGCAGCCTTGGTGAGCAGAAGAGACTTTCAAAAACATTAAAAGACATTTATTCTCCAGATCTCCAGGAACAATGTCAGCAGTCTGAAACAGGAAGTAGAAACGCAGGTACAGGAAGCTCAAGACCTGCTGAGCGATGCCCTCAATATCGCTGAAGACATGAGGAACGGCACGGCTGTAAGTGACGTTTCTACACCACTGAACTCTGTCTAGACGTATGTGATTCGACATGATGCACTTGTTTGTGTGTGGCTCCAGACTCTGGATGAGACGAGGAATGATCTGGAAGGATGGAGTCCGTCTCTCAGGAAGCACGTGGACGCTTTAGTGATGGATATGACCAAAAGAGACGCCCTACAGCTGGTGTACAGAGCCGAGGATTTTTTTATAAATATTATATATATATTTTTTTTAAACAATAATAAAAACTAAAATAAAACACTTACTAAAAAAGATTTGATATTTTATCTGTTTACTTGCATGTCGTGTGACAATTAGCACACATCAGAGAAATGTGAGCATGCAAATGTGTTAAATAATTATAAATTAACTTAAAATCTTGGGCAGACTTTAAGAAAATCTTTTACATCGAAGGGATTCGGCTGACAAAAAAGTGCTGTACATCATCAGCAATGTTCCCTGTAAGCTGCGTGCATTTCTTACATTGCCGCCACGCATTTTATTTTATTTTATTTTATTTTAAAGCCTAATAAAAAATTTACCCCAAAAAGGGAATTCATGAGAAATAACTGCTTCTTTTTTTTTTATTATATTATTATAAAGAATTGAACTGTTCTGCGTGAGATTTTTTTTAATGATTTTTAATAGAATTTCTTGGTAACAGCACTGTAAAAATGTTTTCTCAGGTAACCTAAAATGTGCATCATTTAGTCACATCAAAGCTCAAATCAAATATAAATAGCACATTAAAGTTAAAAGGTACACACTTTTTTGTGTGCGCTGTACAGCTCTGGTATAAAGAATGTTTTTGCTCAGGTGGCCGAAATGTCCGCCCAATAGAAAAGTTTTGCACAGCAAGAAAAAAAAAAATTAGAGGGACCATTGAATAAGAGCACAGAATGTGCCTTTTGGACGATTTCATATGCTCCTCACGCCACTTCAGAGGATCTGTCGATTTGTAATGGACAGATCAGTGTATCATGAGGTCTTTCAGATCCTATGGTAACACTTTATTTTAAGGACCAATTCTCACTAACTAGCCTGCATATTACTAGCATAGTGTCTGTTTATTAGTACTCGACCAATCACAGCTTCAGGAGACTGTTACATGAGGCTTTCCCAAATGACAAGCTAATAATTCATCAAATGTAACAAATAGGGCTACAGTTAAACTTCGATTTAATTATAGTATATAGTGTGTGGCACTGTGTTCATTTACACGCGTGCATCTGATAATAGTGTGATAATAGTATTATTAAAATTATATATATATAATTTTATGGATGAATGTTTGTGGTAAACAGCCACGGATCAGTAGCGGACTCCTGTGTGAAAGCTGCTTCCCCTCTCACAAGAGTCACCTAAGAGGGGAATTCCCCCCATTTTCAAAAATGAAATTCAGGCCCTAAAACTCCTGATTGGTGTATCACTATAAATAGTTATAAATGAAAAAAAGAAGGCTTTAAAAAGATCGGTATCAGTGATCGGTACCGGCAGATACTGCTTTCTGTGATCGGCGATCGGCCTCAAAAATCCTGATCGGAGCACTCCTATATATTATATTATATAATATTATTATAAAGAATTGAACTGTTCTGTGTGAGGTTTTTTAAAATGATTTTTAATAGAATTTCTTGGTAACAGCACTGTAAAAATGTTTTCTCAGGTAACCTAAAATGTGCATCATTTAGTCACATCAAAGCTCAAATCAAATATAAATAGCACATTAAAGTTAAAAGGTACACACTTTTTTGTGTGCGCTGTACAGCTCTGGTATAAAGAATGTTTTTGCTCAGGTGGCTGAAATGTCCGGCCAATAGAGAAAAGTTTGCTCCGCAAGAAAACAAAACATTTGAGGGACCATTGATCATCAGATATCCAGAATTCATGATGATATTAGAAAGCTGTTTAGTGATGCTGCTGTGTGTGTTTTGTGTCAGACGTCTGAGTCCGAGCACTCGCTGACTGAGCAAGGGAAGACAGCGCTTCAGAAGAGCTCAGAGATTCTGGACACCAGCGGATCCCTGAAGAACCACACAGAAGGTGAACACACACACACACACACAGCACTAACACCTGAAGAACCACACAGAAGGAGAACGATCCCTGAAGAACCACACAGAAGGTGAAGACACACACACAGCACTAACACCTGAGATCATTCATACAGAGGATCATCTCATTCCTGTCTGTGTTTCAGGGCTGGTGTTTAGCGTCCGTGAAGTGACCAGCAGGTTGAGTCTGGTTAGAGCGAGTGTTCAGAACGTCACACAGCTGCTCCCAGAAGCCCTGAACATCCTGAGAAACCTTCCTAATGGTGCGGTAAACCTTCAGCGTCCTTACTGACCATTTTTGGTCTTTTTTTTTTTTTGGCTCCGTTAATGCAAACAGTATAAATGTTTTTTTATTGGAATTTTAATAGTTCACCCTCATTTGCTTTCATAAATACTTTATTTTACACTAGGTACAAAAAATAGTTACACTCAAGACTCGGTACCAAAAATGTCTCCTTTGAAACCCATTAAAACGGCAATATTTAATCCCAGTGCCATTTAGGCATTAAATCATGCATTCTTTATTAATATTCATAATTAATTTTTACTGTTTTTAATTAAAAAAAAATACTTTTTTATATTTTTATTTATTCTTTTATTTAACATTTTGGCACCATTTTTACTTTATTAAATCAGACACATCACAAAAAATAACAATGCATCATAATTAGAGTTGCAAAGGGGGGGGGGTTTCCGGGAAACTTTCCAAAAATCCCTGGAATATTACAAAAAAAAATCTGGAATGTGGAAATTTTCCACCTTTTTGCAACCCTAATGTTGTTTCTAATCACTGACATATCTAAAACTGTAATGATCCAAAAAAATCTGCTTAGCATTTAATATATAGAAAATAATTAATTTATATGTGTGTGTATTTTTTTCACTGCAGTGGCATTATGTTAACAAACTAGCATTTAAAGGCTTAAAATCCTGAAAAGAAATGAATTTGTGGTAGTTATGATCAGGACTGATGTTTATATAAAAAAATCTGTGAAATCAGAAAAAAATTATATATATAAATATGTCTCCCTGCAGCACAAAAGCAGTGTTAAGTCGCTGGGGTATATTTGTAGCAATAGCCAACAATACATTATATGGGTCAAAATTATAGATTTCTCTTTTATGCCAAAAATCATTAGGATATTAAGCAAAGATCATGTTCCATGAAGATATTTTGTAAATTTCCTACTGTAAATATATCAAAACTTAATGTTTGATTAGTAATATGCATTGCTAAGAACTTCATTTGGACAACTTTAAAGATGATTTTCTCAATATTTAGATTTTTTTGCACCCTCAGATTCCAGATTTTCAAATAGTTGTATCTCAGCCAAATATTGTCCTATCCTAACAAACCATACATCAATGGAAATATTATTTATTCAGCTTTCATGTGATGCATAAATCTTAATTTAAAAAAATGACCCTTATGACTGATTTTGTGCTCCAGGGTCACATATTAATATTTATAACCATTTTTTAACAGACGTTTTTGTTCTCCAAGTTCATCTGATTTAATTTTTTTAAATGATGTTTAATGAATGAATGTGTAACAGCAGCTGATTCTGTCTGTTTCTCAGGCAGCAGAGCTGAAGTCCTCGAGGCGAAGCAGCAGCAGGAAGCAGCGAATGCATCTTTACAGGAAGCTCTGGAGCGTCTGGAGGATTATCGTGTGAAGCTGCAAGAGTCGTCTTCTGCGGTGGGCTCGGCTAATAACAGCATCAGGAGCACTAACCAGCTAGTCAGAGACTCAGAGGAGACCGGTGAGTGACTTCCCTGCACTCTCTCTTCACGTGAGGTCCATATGAGCTGCTGACGCTCGTCTCATCCTCAGCCAGCGCAGCCAGATCCAGACTGAGCGAGGCTCACCTGAAGACCGAGCGTCTGTTCGACCGTCTGAAGCCCCTGCAGACGCTGGGAGAGAACCTGAGCAGAAACCTGTCGCAGATCAAAGAGCTGATCCATCAGGCTCGCAAGCAGGCGGCGTCGGTGAGTCTGCCGTAGTGTTCATTTCATTAACGAAGACTATGACGAAAAATGTTCGTCAACGAGCTTTTTTCCCATGACTAAGACGAGACGACAATAAGGTCAATAAACGATAACTAAGACTATATCAACATGCAATTTCGTTGACAAAATAAGATGAGACTAAAATGTATTCAAAAAGATAAAAACTTTATTTTCGTCAAAAAAAGGAGATGTGTTTTGCTTATTTTAAGCAATCTGGCAACCATGATCCGAAACCAGCGACAAACACACTGGAGTTTAGCATCTAAATGAAAGCGTCATTCAGTGTTCTGTCATGAGATCTCGACTGTATTGTTTGCGATTGTGATCGCTGAATAAATACACTTACTCAACCGCTGTTGTTTTAATAGAGAAACAGGCTATGAATGAGTGGAATTAATAGGAATTTCACTGTTATAATATTTTTCGTTTTTTTGCTGTTTTCATAATGTAGACAGAGATTGCATAAGTCTTTGGTGTTGATTTATATAATAAAAAGATCAATAATAAATCAGTACACTAGATGAGGTAAAATACATCATGTGTGTGTCCACATTCTATTGATTTGCGCTTACTGGAGAAAGTGCAATGCCTGAAATGCAAAAGTAAATTTCTCAAATGACAACAATCATTACGATTATAATTTTGAGAAAAAAATATTTTTATCAGTTTAACCATTATACAGCATGACAAAAATGTGACTAATATTTAATTGACTAAAAAACCTGACTAAAATGCTCATACATTTAATTGAATAAACAAAAACAGGACAAGTTTGTCTAAATATGATCACTAAAATGTACATTTGAGTAAGACTAAGACTAAATTAAAAATGTCTGCCAAAATTAATACTGCTGTACGGTTAATTAATAATAATCTTATTGCTAAAATGTCAAGTTTTCATTGACTAAAACTAGACTAAAATTAAACAGGATAAGGTTGACTAAATATGATAATAAAAACTAACAAGGACATTTAACACGGGACTAAGACTAAAATGAAAATAGCTGACAAAATGAACACTAGTCTAGCGTCACGTGACTCTCAGAATAAGCAGCAGTATAAACAGCACTCTCACGCATGTGCTCGGACCTCTGCAGATTAAAGTGGCTGTTTCTGCGGATAAGGATTGTGTGCGAGCGTACAGACCAGAGGTGAGCTCCAGTAACTTCAACACACTCACGCTGACCATGAAGACCAGCGAACCGGACAGCCTGCTCTTCTACATGGGCAGCAGCAGCGCCAGCGTGAGTCAGATCACATGACTTCATTCTAAAAAATTGCTGGGTTTCAAATATGGACTAACCCAACCGTTGGGTTAAATTTTTACATTAAAGGTGTCCTATTATGCTTTTTCACTTTTTCAACTTTAGCTAGTCTGTAATGTTGCAACGAGTGTTATTATCACTGTTTTCCCAAAGCAGATGAATTTAGAGGGCTTACAATCATCCGGGTTTAAATCGCGCTCAAATTGATTTGATTTTGACGCAATATTTACACTGAAGCTCGCAGGCG